CTACCAGCTGACTCTGCTACGTCTTTGAAAAAAGTGTGTTTTTAAAAGTGATTTAAAGATTTCAGGTGTTGGGGCCGGACTAACACGGGGAGGCAGTTTATTCCATAATTCGAGCGAATGCTCGGTCTCGGTGTTTCGGTCTCGACATGGGGACAGCAAGGAGCGACTGGTCAGTTGATCTGAGAGACCTTTGTGGAGTGTATCGGTGTCGAAGGTCTGACAGGTAAGAAGGAGCCAGGTCATTTAAAACTTCAAAAGCAAACAATAAAATTTTGAAAAGAAAATGGACAAACAGCCAGCGTAAGGAGGCAGGAGCAGGGCTAAAGTGCTCACGTCAGCAGGCGAGCAGCAGCATTCTGGACGCGCGATAGTGAAGCCTGATCAGTACCAACATGAAGTGCATTACAATAATCCAGGCGAGTGGTCACAGATGCATGTAAAAGGTTTGACTTCAGAGAGCTGCCTCAGCTGAAAAAAGCTTTTTCTCACCACTGTATTTACCCGTTTGTCCATTTCAAGAGCTGTGTCCATTTTTACTCCGAGGTTGGTGACAATTGGTTTGACACAGGATGTAAGAGGACCCAGGTCAGATGGAGGGACACCAGGTCCACTCGGCCCAAATATAATGACCTCGGTCTTCTTTTCATTAAAATTTAAAACATTGAGAGCCAGCCATGCTCTGATATACTTGAGACAGTCTAAAATAGGCCTGAGGGGGTCGTTGTGTTTCAGGGGGAGATAAATCACAAAAATGAAAAGAGACTTTATGCTTTTTAATAATATGGCCAAGGAGAAGTAAATAAATGCTCAAAAGAAGGGGCCCAAGGATGGATCCTTGAGGTACACCACATGGGAGGGGGGCGGAAGATGGGGGGCCGAGTGATTGTCGGGTTTTTCTGTGTATGTATTATTGTCGGGTCTACCTTACAATATAAAGCACCTTGAGGCGACTTTTGTTGTGATTTTGTGCTGCATAAATAAAAATGAATTGTTAAACTCCAGCATCTGTGTGAACTTTAAGCTGGTTCATGAGGGTCAAAGGTCGAACGCATTCTGAAAACTTGGAAAGAGCTGAAATCTGACTGAAGGTTTCTGTATGTGTGTGTCTGTGTGTGTCTGTGTGTGCGTTGCTGTAACAGATTAACCGTCACTTCCCCTCGTGCCGTCGTGCTTCTGCTTTTTAAGAAATCCTGGACAGAGGAGATTCGTCACCGTCTGCAGGGCAGAAGTTTGTGGACGCCTCAGAGCTTCAGCTCACAGAGAGGAGAAGGACTGGAAACAACGTGGGCTGCTGGGAGAGGTGAAAACGCACAAACAGGATTTTTATTTCCAAATAAACAAATAGGAAATATCTAAAAGGGTGCAGCTGAAATGAGTCCTGTTTGTCAGTGTCTGCTGTGTACACAGGGCTGAGCAGCCCACCCCGAACCACTGGACACCAGTGCCAGTGACACTGGTGTCCAGTGGCACTGGTCTGGCATCGAGGGCGTGGAAGACAGCAGTGATGAGACGGGGGGCTGTTTCCTGGTTCCAGGTTGGCAGAGTCTTTGTAAACACGCTGTTCAGATATGTTGACATGAACATTTGCACAGACACAGAAAGGAACGGTCACATGATCACACGATCTACTGCTCGCACGCTGCAGGATTGTAGGAATGAGAGGAAGAAGAGGCGAGGACAGAGCCGGCGTGGCTATGGAGCTGTAACCAGCACAGAGCTGGTCCTGAGGATCAGCATCGATCTCCGAGCCTTCGTTCTGTTCGCACGGCTGCCCAGGAACAGCACGTCCTTCTGCTTCCTGCGCTCTGAGACAAACAGCAGCACGGATATTTCTGAACACTGAGCGTCACGTCCAGCTTCCTCTCATGGCGGGGCTGCTGCGACGTCATTGGTCAGAGATTCTCCCGGGATCGTTTTGTTAAACATAACAAACCGTAAATCAGAGCCGGCCTTTCCTCCCTGTGGGTCTGAAGGAAAAGCAGACCCACAGGGAGCGAGTTACTCTGAGGCCCAACAGTGCGGCTTAGCCAGGTTAACCGGCTGCAGGTGAGCCTCAGGTCACCTGTTACACCTGAGAGCTGCTCAACAATCATCGTCGGCTCCTCTGTGTGAACAGAAACATTAAATGGTAAATGGCCTGTATTTGTATAGCGCTTTACTAGACCCTAAGGACCCCAAAAAACGCTTTACATGTCCAGTCATCCACACACTGGTGATGGCAGCTACAGTGTAGCCAAAGGCGAGGCTGCCGGACAGTGGCGCCACCAGGCCCTCTGACCACCACCAGTAGGCAACGGGTGAAGCGTCTCGCACAGGGACACAACGACCGAGGCTGTCCAAGCCGGGGCTCGAACCAGCAACCTTCCGAATACAAGGCGAACTCCCAACTCTTGAGCCACGATCGCCCATGCAGCATTAAATTAAAATTAAAGCAGCAAACACACACCTGCTCACTGCCAGTACTGAGCACGCAACAACATGAGTCATGCTTACCTGTACACATGTACACCTGCATGCAGGTATTACCATGGAAACAGAGCTGTTTGACAGCAGTGTCTTACAGTCTCAGTAAGTCATCAGGCAGAGATGGCCAAAGCACAGACTTTGTGTACTGAAGCAGACATACAGATACCTGGCTTATAATACTCCAGTAAAACTTTAAGTACTGAAGTAACTTTTTACTCAAGTAAAAGTGAAAAAGTACCAGTTCTCAAATGTACTCGCAGTAAGGAAGTAAAAGCAGCTCCCTGAAGAACAATTCTACTTAGCATGTTTGTACAAAGGAACCTGGTGCTGCAGTAATCTAATCATCAAAGCATCTGAGTATATGAGAATAGTAATGTTTTTCAAATGTACTCAGCTTGAACCTGTTCTGCAGCACACCTGCAGGGACGCAGAAATAAATGTGCTGTCAGCACACGGCAGAGGGGGACTTTACCTCCACACCTGAACAGGAGCATGAGTCTGGGGTCAGCAGGTGGAGGAACACTGAGATGTGTGGAGTGTCTCAGTGTGGGGAAGACATGACAGCTCACGTGAACTTCTAATGTGATCAGCTGACCTGCTGCTCTTTGTGGATTACACACCTGGATTCATCCAGATGTCAGCAGATGTTTCACAGCTGATCCTCCACATGATACTACTCTGTTTATGTTAGACAGCCACTGTGCAGCAGACTCACCTGTTCATCCTGCACTAACCTGCAGCCTTTAAATAACAGTCAGTCTGCAGGTTTCATCACTCTGACCAAACCTGACTGAACCAGCAGCAGAAGATCAAACTACGCTTCATGTTTGATAAACTCTTTTTCTCTCCTGCACTCCTTATTGTGTCGTACATGTCATTGTCTTTCCTTATGCCACCTGTTCTGACCGGTCTCCCCGATGTGGCGTCTGTGTAATGTACGGGCGGAAGAGGTCCTATTTCTCTGGCTGTTACGTCCTGCACAGCTCTCTCTCTCTCAGTGCACTCAGAGACCAATTTACCATCAAATCTGTTTTCTGCATTATTCTCTGCTGCTGTGTTCAGTGCTGCCGGCCTCTGACAGCAAAGCCTCATCTCTGCTGTTCACACTGAACACACTGAATTTTAAGCTTATCTGTTATAAAAAGCCTTCATGTGTTTCTGTTTTAGCCTCAGTGACTTTGACACAAAGGCCTCTGCTGTGATGCTCACACCTCTGATCAAGTCTCACAGTGTCAGCTTGGTTTTATACACAGACACAAAATATGGAGATGAACTGATAACTGATCAGAATATTTCTGACTGACTGAGTGAAAACTGAATCTATTATAGACACCAGTGACGATACCCAGGCCTACCACACACACACACACACACACACACACACACACACACACACTGGTTTTAGTTCAGTGTTAGTTCACACACATTGGTTAGATTTGGTGACCTGTAATAACCGTGGACAAGAAGTCAGCAGCTCGGTGAGGGGAGGAGTCAAAAACACACGTAGACCCTCAGTACCTAAAACCTTTTTGAAACATGAGTGAGTGACAGGTGGGAGCGGACGACAGGAAACACCCACGCGATGATTCAGGTGTAAACATCGTCACGTGGGCAGAAGGTGGGTTCAGGAAGTGTTACCTGTGAATAATCCTGAAACATCCCGGATTAGCGGGAACTTCTGTGCTCACATCCAAACTTCCCGCATTGACTCACGCTCTGTGAGGTCAGAGCGCGAGCCCCGCTGTGTCTGTGACGCAGCAGCACCGAATAAGTTCCGTCAGATGTGACGGAATGACCGGAAAACCCCGCGCGGAAGCATAAAAACGAGAAAGCGGCTGGAATGAAAGTTCAGAGAGAGTCCGAGCAGCTGCACGGCAGACACGCACCGAAACAGGGACACCCACGGACCCGCAGACATGAACGCGTTCACAGGTAAGAGCATGCGCCGTGACGCAGGAGGGGCCGCTAAACTCTGCAGAAATACGCACGGAGCTTGGTAGAAGAGTCGGGTCACTTTAAAAAAGTGAGCTGCAGAGCCTCACTTGAGCCTCACCTGAGCCCCAGTCCGGCTCAGGTGAGGCTCAGGTGACGGGGGCTGACGGGGGTCTGTATGGAGGGTCATTAGTGCCAAACAAGTTAGAAGGAGCTGGAGGAAGTGCAGTCCTGAGAATCACACCTGCAGACACTGTATGTGTGCGCACAGGTGTGATCTTGGTGTGACGGTGGATCACAGGACCGCTTTAAATATTCGGATAGCTCGCAAAGTTTTCACGTGTCATGCAGCTGAGACACGGAACCAGCAGAGGGCGAGAAGGCCCTGCGCTTGTTTATGTGAGTGACAGTATAAGTAGGCCTACCTGCATCAGTACCTTCATCCGCTCCGCTGACTCTGTCCTCCTCCGGGTTGTTCTGGTCCAGCTCAGAAGTCCGGGCTGCTGAAGGTTCAGGAATAGTTGAAGCAGAACCACCGTCAGGCTTGCAGATTAAAATAAAACATAATCTGTGTGTTCAGAGTCCCTGAAGCTGTTTTCATACGAATCCAGGAAACTGTGAAAAAGTTTGTTTATAAGCTTTAATCAATAACTCCCCAAAAGTTCATTGATGATTGATCATCAGAGTGTGAGGGTGCAGAGGCAGAAACAAATGAGTAAACATCATAGTTCTGGCTGTCAGCCGCTTTTTAAGATTTTAATGATTAATTAGCTCTTAATGAATAATTAATGATTAATTAATGCTTTATTAACATCGTCACATCTGATTGGACCACAGTTTTTTCTTTCTGTGCTTGGTATCAGAGATTATCTTGTGGTGCTGTTGCTCTTCTCAGGGGTCACTCTCTTTGTTTTTCCAGTTGTTGCCCTGCTGCACTGCTGCCTGTTAGCAGCGCTGGTTCAATCGGCTCCCGTCAGCTCGCCGTCCAACCCGTCGCAGACGTTCAAAGAGGCGGTCGAGCGAGTGATGAGGCTGGTGGAGAAAATCCGGAAAGACGTCCGCTCCGTGCACGGCAGCATCATCAACATTGACGTACGCACACGCCCGTCTATATCACGGCGCAGCCCGACCACCGTGTGCTGTCACGCTTTGCAAAAGCTGCAGTAAGCTGCAGTGCCAGCAGGGGGCGATATGTTATTACTAGCCAACATTGTTAACACATTTACTTGGTAGCCATCAATCCTGGAATAGAAGAAATCTGGAACGTACGTCATAGCTTCCTTGGTCACTAGCGGCTCCCCCACCCCCTGGTGGAACTGCAGCTTACTGCAGCTTCTGCATGCTTGTCCACTTCAGGTTTGTGAAGCATGACAGCACACAATGGGCAGGTGTGTCTTTTAAACGGTTTGCCGTGGTACTGGGTTCAACTTGCTGCTCCTTCTTCTTCTTCTTGAGCTAATAGATGTTTACTGTCCTCCTTAGGGTTTTACCCTCGACCCCTCCAGTCAGACCGGAGAGCTGGAGATGAAGAGGATAAACCTGGGAATCCCTGACCCCCCCGTCCTCAAAGAGCTGTCCGAACAGTTCACAGCGGTCAGTCTCCAGCTCGGGTGGTGCCGTGGGTGGTATTGGGGAGTTCTTTGGTTCCTTTGGGCTCATTAATGGTTTCAGTTGGTCCTTGAATGCAATTGGGAGGGTTTAGTGATGTCATAGAGGGCTCTGGGAGTGCATGTGCTTTGGTCATGGGGGAGGTTCAGGAGGCTATTGACAGTTTTTTGGTTCCTTTACTGCCCATTAAAGAATTACTGAATCGCTCCAGGTGTTTGTGTAGTGGTCGAGTCTGTTCTGGTGATGTAATGTGATGGGTTTGTGTTTCCCTGCAGGACATGTGTGTGAGCCGTATGCTGGCGGCCGGCCGGCTGTACCAGGGGCTGCTGGTAGATTTGTCTCGCAGACTGGGGGGACTGGAGGCCCTGAGTGCTGAACTGAGAGACCTGGTGACCCACATCAACCAGGTAACACACACACCGGCTGAGAGCGTGCACTTCCTGTTGTCTGCAGTTGTAACCCTTCACAGGTTGTGTCCAAATTCATGGGCTGCATCCTCGTGAGGCTGCATTTGTAGGCCGATTACGTCACAGCGACGCGCCAAAGGCTGTCCAAATTCGTAGACTCCTCCGAATGCAGCCGACAAATGCGTCCTCCTTTTCCCCGAATTTGAAGGATGGGTTGGGTGTGTCCTTCGTGACCCACCATATCCCAGAATTCATAGCGCGGCCCAGCAAAACTCCAGTTTCCGGCAATGGCGACCACTACTAAGTTTTAAAATTACTCTTATTAATCTTTCTGGGTCACAAAATAAACTTTTAACATATTTTCAGGCCAGAAAGTAGCTGTGCAAACATCAAATATCTGCTCGGTTTATCAAGATGTCGCATATTTGCAAAAGTGCTTCGACGTTTTCGGAGACGTCTGTTACCCACCAGCTCGACAGCTAGCCGGGAGCTCGAGGGTCACTGAAGCCGCAGAGAATGGCACAACTCCCGGCACATCATCATTGGCACAGCGCGGACTTTCGCTACTCAGGTTAAACGTAATATATAAGTCACTTAGACAACATTAAAATGTTATTGTTTGGCATTTTTCAGTGTTTTATTTGTTTGTGAGTAAATCGGTTTGGCTGAGATTAAAGTTATTAGATTAGATAAAATAAAACTTTATTAATCTCCCGGGTGGTTTTCACACAGCTGAATAAACGTCAAACAGAAAACTGATTAAGCAGAAGTGTCAGACGGTCGAGAGTTTACTCCAGCGTCCTGTTATATTTTAGATAGCAAGGAGCAGACGGCTGAGTTTATTAAACTCCACCCAGACAGCGGTGACGCTAATCAGAAGGCTGGACCGTCCAATTTCACAGCCGTTTACTTCCGGCCTACCCGACCTTCTGAGGACCCACGTAGACCGCGAAGGCCGGGTTCTCAGGAGGATGCAGCCCATGAATTTGGACATGACCCTAGTGGAACGTGTCCACTTTCTTGCCACCCTATGACATCACTTCCTCAGAACTTGTGCTTGTTTTGAAACAGGAAGTTCTCGGCTTTATTCAAGTTGTTGGGTCTTTGCTGTGTGTTTCAGATGAAGGACGCGGCTCAGCTGAGCAGTGACTCTTTGGATCAGAGCAGCCTGGACTTGACTTTGAATCTCCATGGCAACTACGATGTCCAGGTGGCAGCCCACCTGACGCTGTGCCAGCTGCTCGAGTTCTGTCACGACCTGATCCGCAGCCTCAGAAACATGGCCGAAACACAGATGGCTCGTGGGACGCGCTAAGCCCCGCCCACTGCAGGATCAGAGCTGCTAGCACGATTCAGGGGAGAGACTTTATCGATCGTGGAGTTGTTGACACTGTTTGTCTCATCATCATCACCTCCTGACGAGCGCCCGCCTCCGTGATGCAGCGGGACTAAAGACTGATAGATGACACACAGGAAGTTTATCCCTCGTCTTCAGCAGCTTCAGGATCAGCCAACACGCTTTATTGTGAAGGCGGCCTGTTGGAGCTCCGTTTCCTGCTTTGTGTGTCGCAGCACGTCGAAGCGCTCTATCGTCCCGGGATCAGCTGGGAACACACAGCAGGAATGTGATGAATGTGTGCCCGATCATACTGGTGCAGAAGAAGAAGAAGGAGCCGGCTGCAGGTCCAGACCTGCTTCACGCCCGAGGTTATTCTCACCTGCAGACGCTGGAGAAGGAAAAAACAGCGTCATCATCTGAACCCGAACTCCACAGCCGATCGACTTCTGTCCCGTTTCAGTTCTAATCAGCTTCAGTGAAACATCTGGAGCGTTCACCACAAACTCTCAGGGCCATTTTTTACTGTTCACTGTACAGAAAACAATCAAATCAAGTTTGAAACGTGTCTTAATGAGGTCACTTCCTGCTGTTATTACTTTAGAGTAAAAGCTCCTTCAGTTGAACCTGATGGTACAGCTTTTATTTTGAAGCCGCAGCAGGAAATGACCTGGCAAGAGAAAGTCATAATGTTGTCACGTTTTTATTCATAAATATTTATTATTTTTTATTTAATTGTTTTTAAAAAGCAATATCTTGTTCTTTGTGTTTATTTATCATCTCTTTATTTATTGATTATATTTATTGACTATTTATTGCTTTTTTTAAACTTCCTGTTTGTGTTGTCAGTGTTAAATCTGCAAAATGTTTTCAAGGACATTTTTTTATCCTGCTGATTTTTGTGATTCGCTTCATTTCTTGACGCTTTCGTTTTTACTCATTGACGTTTGTTTGTTTTTATTGTTTATGTTTGAGAACTAAAAATAATATTCCTACCTGCTGATCTCTGTCGCCACGTTAGAGATCAGCAGGTATGATGTCAGTTCTGCAGAAAATAGCATCAACATTCCTCAGAGCTCCGTGGGGAGAGGAGGAGGGTCTGAAGTCCCGGATGAGCATCAATAATAAATAATAAATATTGTTACACAAAACTTTATTCTTTAGTTTTCTTTTGAATGTTGAATTCAGTTTTTTATATTAAGTGATTGTTTTGATCTTTAGTCTTTGACCCTGCAGCGAGTCTGCAGCTGAGAGAATAAAGACTCCGAGTTTCCTCTCATTCGTTCATGTGCAGCTTGTTCCTGAAAGCAGGAAATGAAGCTCCAGCTGCTCAGACTGAACATCCATGTGAT